GAAACAAATCTTAATCTAATGCTTTCCTGAAGAGCATAATTCCTCCACGAACATCGTCCTCCAGGTCGCAGTGCGCTAGTAGTCTTCGATGGGCTATGACGAAAAGTGATCTTTGCATTGAATCACTTCCTCTTGACGCCATAGCAGCTCTTTCAGTCGAGAAGACATCTCTCATCGTAGAGATAAACATGCCGGGGTTCCTGAGGACCATCGCCAGCCGTGCTGCCCCTGCCCTGCGGCAAACAACTGTCTCCCAGAGAGCCAGTATCTACACCAGACCGGCCAAGGAAAAGATCGGCCCAGTCGAAGTCTGCTGTAATCTTTCCGCCACTTGGTCCCATGCTAACTGACTCACAAGCTAGCAGCTTGTCCTTGGTTGACGAGGTCAAAAACTGGTATCTGAAGTCAGCGGCGCCTAAACCGTGTATTTTGATTTATAAAACCATTGCATCTAATTAACTTAAGGTTCTGAACTTAAATCGTTACATGTCTGAATATTTAAATTTCTCCGCTCCCCCTAAACCGCTTCCGTCGTTAGCTAGGCCCATGCTAACAGATGTAGCCGTTTCTATGTCTGAGTGCGCTGTCTCTGTGGAAGTAACAGTTCAAATTGTCGTTGTAATGCACAGATTTCAGGGACAGTTGCACATACATGTGTGAAAAACCTTAGTAACTTTTCAAAGTGTCGTTTATACCGCAATGTCTTGATACATGCAGCCAACAAAGCAGGACATCAGTGAATACACACAATACAAAATACTTCTTCTCGATATTTCAATATAATTTACACTCGGTTGTCAGTTTATTTGGTGCACTGATGTTAATCTAATAATCCTCCTGTCGTCCAGCTATTGTAAAAAAATTTAATTTGGCAGCTTTCATCAAACTGGAAGCCTGTAGTGCTGAATCATGATAAACCTCGAGGACCAGTCTCGTTCAGAAACACACAAGTGTATTTTGTTTTTTTTAAACACTTTTGTCTCAAAACTGATTTTACTCTACTCTTAAGTGGGTATTAGATGAGTAACATTTGACACACGATTACTATTATTAGTAAATGTTGGCATTAGCAGTGTAGCTCCTGTTTATTATTGTGCAGGTCTTTTAGAACTATGTGATTAAGTCAATTTTAGCTTGGGAACCTCATAACAAAAAAATCTGTCAAACGTATTCACAATTGTCCCATTATTCACAATTTTCAATCAGACATGATAAAGCTCGTGTTGTGACGTCCCAGGAATCTTTCACAAAGGAGATTATAAAGAGATTTGTCCCACAGATGGAGATTAATGGTCTATTTGACATGAAATAGTAATATTTATATGCAGTTGTTGGACACATAAAAAAATACACAATTTAATGAAATATGCAAAGAAATGTTATTCTAAATACACTAATGGTAATGTGTTATGACAAGTGACTTAGTACTTAAATGTATATTACCATTTTCTTTTATGTACATATACAAACTTTCAACTGTGACAACACATTTCATATAAACAGTTTGAGCTCTAGTAAAACAAAATGATGAATACATTTAGATCTTTCAGGGAAAAATCTAACCACATATAATTCTGGTGCAATCAGTCACGATACAACATACTCAGTCATTTTTACTGTCTAATATTTGAGAGTGTAGTTCATAGTTTATATGTGAACCAGTGAAAAGACCTGAAGCTGAGAGAGTTGAGTCAGAGCTCAGTGATCTCATGTCGTGAAATGTGATATGAGCATCGAATTCCAACCTGCGCCAGCAGTATCAACACATTACCTGATGATTTTACACAGAAGTGTAAGATCTGATTGGCCCCAGCTGACTAAATTTCCTCTCTCTCTCACTGTCTGTTGTCCAGAAACCACCATTGGAATGAGTATGTTCGCCATGGCATCCTGGGACCATCGTATGGATCCTGCCCACTGGAGGACTACAAGAAGAAGGAGTGAACTGACATTTTAACAGTTTGATCTAGTGTATCCAGCCTCCTGTCTCCAGTAACCACCTGGGACCAAACCTTATGTTCAGCTTCAAGAGAAAAATCTAGGACAAGTCTTACCTCACACTTCTACCTCTCTACAGTTCCACCACAGCTCGATACAAACCAACTGCTCCCAAAACAATGACTCTGATAACATCCAAATTGAATGTAAAATCTCTCCTCTATAACAAGTATTTACAATATAAATAAACACATACTGCTGCTGTTTGTTCTTTCTCTCTGAAGATGAAGCGAGCTCAGAAAAAAGGAAGAGTAAAGGGCAAAGGTCAAAGTCGGCTGAAAGTCAGTCAACCACACATCACAGCAGTGGTGAAAAGTACCATCACTTCAAGTACATAAAATAGCAGTGGCACCATGTAAAGATGCATTACAGTATATGTGAAGACTATTGGTCTCTTTAAGCCTGCTGTCTCTGTCACATGTTCTTACTAATTAATATTATGTTTATTCATTCCCCTGCTTCACTCATCCTGACTTGAACTTGTTTGTGCAGTATTCTGACGTTATGCTTCTCTCTACATCCTGAGATATATAATATACTTATAAGACCTTTATTACCTAGCTACAGAGATTAAAGATACATCTAGATCCATCATAAAAAGAAGCTAAGCTGTGAACCATTTCTTAACAGTGTTGTAATACCTGAACTATGTGCTGGTAGTGCAGTTACCTAAAAAAAATAAGATGAATATTAAAGTGAGAAAAACTCCTTCACACGTCTTTGTAGTGTTCTTGTGACCACACTCATGAGACATGGTGAAGTCCTCATTGAACAGGAAACATGGTGTTCAACAGTGGGATACGGTGAACATTTCAGCTCAGCTCTTCTCCAGCAGTCAAACTTTGCACATCTTTAAGATTGTCATCACTGTTTGCTCTCTGAGTGCGGGGTGTCAATCTAGTCTACACAGCGAGGTTTGGTTCATTTTCTACTTCATGTAACTTCTGAAGACAGTTACTCAAGAGTAGGGTTATAATTAGATGTTGGACATCCAAAGGATTAATAGAGTGCTGTTTAACAGCAGTAAATTGGCACAAAATGGTTCATATCAGACATGTGCCTACACTGTAGTAAGACCACCATAAAGTGCACCTACACACCTTCATCCTTGCTGTTGGTCCCATGACTGAGAAAGAGAGGACTGATCTTTTTTACCCTCTGCGCTGTGACAGCCCAGACTGGACCAGTATGTTTTCAGGTTGCGGTCCTATTCTCGTGAACGTTATACTCAGTCACACCTTGAGGGAATTTCTTCAGAGATTTGACACAAACATTCACTTGGACTAAGGATGAACTGACTAGATTTTGTTGTGAACAAAGTGTTAAATCCACTGACCTCACAAAGAAGTTTTTGCAAAAACTCACAAATGCATTCACTAATTAAACACAATTTAACTCAAATGTCTCTAAGGATAAAATGAAGTGATGATATTATATTCCAAAAGGTCAAAGTCAACTTCACTGTGACTATCATAATGTTCTGGCAAAAATGTAGTCACTCAGGAAGGGGAGATTGTGACCATATTTCCTCTGCAACGAGCCGGTGGCGGAAGATACACCATGAAGGCGTTCCCCATTTCTGATAATCAGATGCCTACTTTGAATGATGAACAGCACATACACGTTCCTGATGTGAAAACCTGATGATTGAATACACCTAAGACGAATAATTCTATAACCCTACTGGTTGGCCCTTGATTTTCGATCAAAGAAATACTACCACTGAACTAAGTACCCCTCCTGTTTATTAATCAAAACCATCTGTGTCGTACAGACAACCCTCTCTGCTTCCTCTGTCTCTCCAGTACATACTGTTTTATCAACACCTTTACCTGCCAAGCTGATTCTCAAATCAAGGGCCCTTCCTGGCCCTGGTAAATTTAACTCTAGGTGTTACACTGTTAAGGCCTCTCCATCCCCTTTATTTCCACTGTATAACTGTCTCCTGCTCTTCGTTCTGTGGTCAGTCTGTTGCCTAGACCTCGCACTGTGTCGTTGGCTCACCGTATTTAGAATACAATAAACTCACATTACTACAGCAAACTTGGAACCAAGGACTTGTAGTGAATTTCTTCAACCAGGAGCCTGTCAAAATAACATTTTCCATGACGGGCACAACATGTTTTTCTTATTTTCCCTCGTCAAATATCGTCTGCCATCCTGTACAAAATGTGGCACTCAGAGTTCTGAGTTGAAATGGAATTACACATGTCACCTGACAGCACCATACAACTCATCCAATGGCTCAGGAGAGACTCATAAAGACAGCAGTCTATCTGGAGAGTTAACAGGGCATGATGACATAATCACTCCATGTGTGTTTTTTGTTGTGTCTCAAAGTCAATGTAAACTACAGATCAGTTACATTTTGAAGGGAACTTAAGTAATGAATTGGCTGTTATTGAGTCCAGGACCATAGAGCTGCTCGCTGCTTCGTTTGTGTAGTTGGATGAGAGCTTGATGAAACGTTGCTGTGGTGATATCTGCACTAAAAACCGACCTAGTGAGGAGGGACGTCGCCGGTTTCTGCATCTGAATAACTGATGTCCACAGATATCACAGCTGTTGTTCATACATGAAGACAGAAGTAGAAAGAGGAGGACACGTACATACATCAACACATGAACTCTTATCAATTGTAAATATTTTAGATTAACTTAAACGAGAAAATGATGTTGTTTTTTCAAAAAGTGTCTCGATCACAATGTGCACAGGTGCTGAGGACAGCGCAACACTGTGGTGGTAGTCT